GACCCCTTTAATATTGTTAGTTTGAGCCGTAATACTGGTATGCTGCATATCAGGTTTTACTGTCTATATACCCACTTTCTCGCGTTCTATCCAAAATCGAGCAAGACCGCCCACTCCAGATATCACACACTTTCAGTTTTCCAATTATCAGCTTTACACCTCATTCCTTTCCAATAACGGTGTTTGTGGATTTATCCATCATTCAACCACTTCCAATGAGTTCTTCATCATGAACATCACCAACCACGAACTCCGGTTTCCATCTTTGGGTTATAACTTCTGCACTGCATACCGTGGTCGATATTTGATTGGCAAACTTTGGGAACATGGTTGAAGCAGACCCCGAAACGAGAATGATCTTTTTTTAATTTTGAAGTGCATATTATTGCATGACTGCGGGTCTAGTCTCGTTTGAATCTAGAGCCCAACCACTTTCATCAACTGGGTGATCACCCCTCCCTTATATCCTAATGTGCTAGCGACAACCCTCATACCCTGGATCATTTTTCTCACATCCCACCCACGCTAATTTCTCAAACATATACGATTCCCCCACCCCCGGGCTCATCGAACAAAGCCCTATTTGCAATGTCCATCCAGTTTTCCCGTTTCACTCGCAGTGTTACTTCCAGATACAACTTGGCTGATTGATGTAACATTCCCAACTTTTGCCGCTGGTACGAATTTCATTTCTCTATCAGTGTCTCCATTTTGCATACTTTAATCTCTTAGATTATTTTACGAACACTTATTTGTTCCACAGTTCTCTAAGCTAAGCAAACGTTCAAACTCGGAATAGTTTAATCCTACTTGTCGTCGAGCTGTTCATAAATGGCAGCGTTACTTCACTGATACCACTCCCTGTTCTTCAATGCGATGCATAGTTCATTCAAACATGCAAGAACTACACAGCTAAAATACAGAGGGCTCAGAAGTGAGCTATAGAGAGTAAATCAAGACATTTGGAAAACGCTTTTTTCTGGAAACCGGATGTTCTGGTCACTTGCTCAGGAAGTGTCAGGTAATCTCTGTTCCACCAGCTTACATCTGTTACTATGATGTCTACTGATTCAGTGTACAGTTTGATTAAAAAACACAAGTGTTTATTTCCAAGCTGCTTTCTACCCTAATGCGATTATTGCACTTAATCCCGCATATACCCTACATTACATCACTTCTTCATACCACTCATTCCCATCTTCAAATTCAATCAACTTTTCTTATGACGAAACCCAAAGAAGCCAACAGAGCCCGACGGGATGGCCTCTCTTCCTAAAACTTTACAGCTCGTTCAGCATCGCTAATTCTGCCGCCTCTTTGAAAGGAAAATTTCTCAACCGCCTGAAAAAACACTGTGGTATTTACCATTCCCCAAATCGGTAACTCTCAGACTCCACTGAACGGTGCATAGACTCGCTCGCATAAAACACTTCAAAAGCTATGGGATCGGAACTTACTGATCGATTCCGGGGTCGCGTGGAGTAGAACAAGTTGGTGCAATTTCCGGCCCTATAGATCTATCGATGATCTGATGCTCCTTTCTCGTGGGTCTATAGGCCAATTTATTGATTGAATTTCCTTCGAAACCAGTGTTCCGGACTGTAATTAATATGAACGCCGACAACATCTTTGTTCCAGTCAACGGTACCATCTCTTGTTCATTGCTTATGGACGCAGCTGCCCCTAAGGCTCCCTTCCTTTTTTATCAGTTTTGCTCCCCAGTATTGAATACCCAAATGATCAGATTTTTAGGAAGAAAAAGCCGTTCGTCAAAGGGCTGTCATACAACAAATAATGAGTTAGTAGTGGGGTTTAAACACGCATCCTCCATGGCGATTATCTGGTAACATTTACCAAAGTCAAAGTCAAAATTTTATTATGGGAAATACTTACAAGCGGTTGCTTTCCAAGTCTCGTAGGGTTTAGCACAGATTAATCAATCACGGTTCATAGAAGGTAGACGAATGTCACAATTTATTCCTGTTTCATGCACTGCTACGGATGTTGAAATTTAAGACTTTTCAAACATTCATCCACTTTGTGCGTGAAGGAATTAGTTGTAAGCGAAGAAACAACGTGTGGTGGTAGAGAATTTCAAGTAGTGCGCATTGTGAGGGCGAATGAATGACGCCGGCATTCTAATCGGCAATTTCGGAGCACTAATTTGAAGGAGTGCTCCCTTAGATGATTGTTGGGCGACATGGCAAAGAGTGAACGACGTGGGTGATCTGGTTTCTGCATTACTTGATACACCAAGATCAAGTCCCCTCGAATGTGGCGATACTGTGCGGAGTACAGTTACAGTGATTCCAGTCTTTCCGCATAAATCTTGGAATGCAATCTCTTGACCATTCTTTGTGGACGTCCCAGAATCTTCCGATCGCGTTGCAGCCATTGACTCCACTCTTGAATTGCATACTCCATATGGGGTCGACAGTAGGCTGATAAAATCCGTGGAAACAGCGTAGGTTCAAACTTGTCAGTGGTAACTCACACACCTTCCACGCGCTGGGTTCGGAGTTCAAATCCTGGACGGGACGGTGGATATGCAATACTGACGGGCTCTAATTGGAGAGAAACTCGAGTCTAGTGCTCCCGACTGCATGGTTGAATCGATAAACTGGGGATGGTGCATGAACATCAAGTCCAAAGAATAGTCAATCAAATCAATTAACTGCAATATTGACAATCACCATTCTTCCCTCAGGATCTTTATAATTCACAATCCTAGTCTTATACAGTCTTGAAGCAAACACAGTTCTCTGTGGTGCCAGTAAAATCGCTCTTGTTTACATTTCTCTTTAACTTGGATGTCTCTTCCCGCATTAAACTTGACCCCAATATTCTTCGTTCCACAAATTTACGCGACTTATTAGGACAATGTTTACCTCATTTTCCAGGGTCATCTGATACTTATTAACTTCTCTCTTTACCTTCACTTCCAT